GCTCGAGAGCAAGCAGGCCTTGAACCGTTCGTTGAAGAGACGAAAGATGAAGCTAAAATGCCAATAACGAGTGAAAAATACATCGAGGCGGTTTGCAAAGCCATGCAGGGGGCAAGTGGGCTTCGTTTCGCCTGCTAGTGCCTTGCATTGTGTCCTTGTCTCTTTCATACACCGATTGTCCAGCTGTGTGGGTCTATCTTTGGCACTGGTTGCAGGCAAAGCAGCATTTGACTCACTTGCTTGCCTTCGTTCGTGCTCAGGTGGAAACAGTGGATAACGATGCGGAAAACATCAGGCGCAGCGGCACCTATGCGTACGCACCTCAGACGGATTCTGAGAAAGGGTGCGCTGCGGCTGTCTCCTATTGGAAAGAAGCCCACGTGAAGCTTGGGAATCTACCACCCGTGTATGAAGGAAATACAGATGTGTATGCGGAAAGCCGAAGCCGCTCACTTGTAGCCCTGTACAGCGCCAAAGACGACGCCACCATCTCCTGCGCGTACATCACTTGCCCTGTCTCCATAACGAGCACCACCACAGTTAGTACCCCAACAGAGCCAACTGCTGGTGGGGAGGAAGAAGAGGAAGAGCGCGAGGATGAAGAGAATCTTCCCGTAGGTAATGAGGGAGAACCTAAAAGCCAGCCGAAGCCCGGGCCGACAGCTCGGCGCCTCTCCACATCCTCGGAGACGATTACCGGCCTTGTTTGCCTCACCAATCCTCCAGCTCTTGTACAAGGAGAAAAGCCCTTCTCGTACGCATTTTTGAATGTGCTGTCTGGTTTCACTCTTGGCTGCATCTCCTGCCTCAGTGCTGTTTCTCTTCCTTGGTGCACGCATTGTGGGAATGCTTCATTTTATCTGCTGTTTGTATTTACTTCGCCTGCTGCAGTCGCATGCTAATTTTATTGAACGCGTTTTCTGTGTTGATTGTCGCAAACTACTTGGATGTTGTTGCTCCATCTATGCTGTGTCGTTATGTTTATGTTCTTTTCTCGTTCCGCTCTGCTTTCCATCAATGCTTCTGCGCCTTCCAAGTAATGCTTACTTGTGCGCTGTTTTTTTTGCCTGTCTGTGCATCACTATTCGGCCCCTCTCAGATTCGTCTTGATCCCTTTCATCTCTTTATTCATACACCAAGTTGTGTCCTTCCATAATCTGTTATACGACTTTCTCTGCTTTTGTTGCTTGCATGAGCTTTCCTGTTAATCACATGCGGCCGTAATGCTTGGTTTTGTGTGTTGTCAATGTATAAGGGGATTGCTTGTCGCTTCTGTTATGTGTGAACGTCTGCGCAGTGAGGAGGTTTGGGCGGGCATAAAGGAAGCCATAGAAAACTCCGCTTCTGCCTCAACGCAGTCTGCTCTCCTTGTCACCGCTTTACTCGTGTTCACTCCATTCATCATTCTCTAGGCAGCGTCAGCGAGCAAACGCCATGTTATGCTTTTAGCCGCAGCTGGCATACTAGGGCAACTGAATTTCCCCCAGTGTTTGGAGAATGTGCAGAAAGTATAGGTTTCTTTGACCCCGTAGACTGGGGCTCTCCGCAGAGAGGCGGCATTAAA